CTATTTTTGTTGACCTTTGTCCATGGAAGGTCCCTGCAAAATTTCATTGAAATTGGTTCAGGGGTTTTGGAGAAGAAGTCGAAAATGTAAATTGTTTACGGACGCACGACGGACGACGACGGACAAAAGGCGATCGCAATAGGTCACTTGAGACTTTGTCTCAGGTGACCTAAAAAACAATACTCAATTTAAAACACACCATAATGATTATCATTTGAGAAAAATGATGCCATATTTTGTCATATTTTGTTTTATATCTTGCAATAGTGCAAATGAGACCCACTTAACAGAATTGTTGTATGCTTAGAGTGACTTTGGTATACAGCAAGTTTTAGATCTTGTTAGTATTGTAAAACGTGTTATTACTATTCAGGATTTTCGGATGACTATTGACATTTAGCAATTTCAGAAGTCACATAAAAGGACTATGTATGGTTTGGGCATGTTTTGACCTCCAAATGCATCAAAACTCAAAATCTTTAAATGAACTTTCAAACGACTGTTTCTTTTATTTTGAATACTTCCCAAATACTATCATAAAAATATTTATTTGTATTTTTAATTATTGTTGCCATGGGAACAAGTTAAAAGTTGCATAAATTCAAAAATTTGAATATTCAGTGAATATTGTCATATTTTGCATAGTCCCCCTCCCCTCCCCTGTAAACCATATAGTGCATGCTTGAACAAAAGGATAATGCGTATGCACTTGTAATACATCTTTAGGAAAAATAAAAAAGTTTGTTCAAGAGTGCGCTCTATAGTAGCTAAGAGAACAAGAGGCCCAAAGGGCCTGTATCACTCACCTGAATATTTAAGCAGTCATAGCAAAATATTATCATTAAATATTATCATGTACTGCAAATATTTCACTCTCAAACTGTGTCGGCTCCATCTGTTGAAACTACCAACAAAATATTATTGTATGATTCTATGTTTATTGGTTCTTCTTCTGAAGATGTTTGAAGTGTTGAACACATTTGACCCCTGTGACCTTGTAAGTAGGTCAAGGTCATTTTCTTTTTTAAACATTGTTGCGCAGGAAACCATCAGCCAAATATGAAGATTCTATACCTTTCAGTTCTTCAGAAGAAGTCATTTGAAGTGTTCAACACATTTAACCCCCAAGACATTGAAAGTAGGTAAAGGTCATTTTCATTCTCAAACTTTGCCAGGCTCTATCCCAGGATGCAACCAACTAAATATGAAGATTTTATACCTTTTAGTTCTTCAGAAGTCATTTGAAACCTTTGACACATTTGACTGCTGTGACTTTAAAGTAGGTCAAGGTCATTTTCATTCTCAAACTTTGTCAGGCTCTATATCTGTGGAAGCTAGCAGCTAAATATGAAGATTCTATACCTTTCAGTTCTTTAGAAGGAATGATTTAAAGTGTTCAACGTGTTTGACCGCTGTGACCTTGAAAGAAGGTCAAGGTCGTTTTCATTCTCAAACTTTGTCAGGCTCTATATCCGTGGAAGCTACCAGCTAAATATGAAGATTCTATACCTTTCAGTTCTTTGGAAGAAGTCATTTGAAGTGTTTGACTGCTGTGACCTTGAAAGTGGGTCAAGGTCATTTTCATTCCCAAACATTGTCAGGTTCTTCCAAGCAAAGCTTTCAGCCAAATATCATGACTCTAGGCCTGTCCTTTCTTCAGAAGAAGGTGTTTAAAGGAAAAGTTGACAGACGGACACCGCTCCATGACATTAGATCACTTACCCTTCAGGCAGGTGAGCTAAATACTAGATGAAAACCTGTCAAAACTGACTGAATATTCAAATTTCATTAATTTATGAAAATACTAAATGGTTACCATGGCAGTCATTATTGAAAACACAAATAAATGTTTACATGATAGTACCGGAGAAGTATTCAGAATTTAGTACAGAATCAAAGTATTTAGAATTAAAGAAACAGTCATTCAAAAGTTCTATTGAAGATTTTTAATTTCGATAAAATAAACAAATATACAGTTATACTGTATATTAATGTGTGAGGAAACTGGAGCACCAGGAGAAAACTTACGTGGTAAGGCTTTCAGCCTGAACTCTTGTATGGGTAATTATATGGTGAAACCAATATATACTGTATATACATGTACTTACATAATCACCAAGTGCCTTTTTTACAAGTGGCCAGCATTCTCGAAGATATTTTTCTCTGTATTTTGGGAATAAAGTTGCAAAGGAGGTTTCAGCCAGAACACTATGTGGGTTATCCTCTTTGGTTATCCCAGGATCTTTCCAGCCTTCTGGGACCTCGAGCAAGTCTTTTTCCACATTCTTTTTGCCCCATATCTTCTCTGTGAAGTAAAAGTGATTAAACCAGATATTAAACCTATTATCAGACATCTTCAACAAAACTCAAACAGTGTAACAATTGTTTGCTTTGGGACAGCCAGTTATTTTATTTGCAAACGTCTGAGCAGTTACATAGTTATATTTTGTGGTTGATCCAAAATAACAGTGAGTAACCTTGTTTGATATGAGCTGCTAACATTGAACTGAATAACTGTAACATACATGTACAAGAAGAAAAAAAATAACAAGCGTCCTAGCCTGCCATGATTAAGCCATCCTAATTAACACTCCAGGGGTTACTTCACTTTCGCTGTCTGCACCCCTGGAATATGTCATAGCAAAAGTGAATGCTCAGTGTGCGCCACCTTGTTGATGAGACAAGAAGACTAGTTCGATCCTTTGATGTACATCAAAAGAATATCAGTCACATAAATATTGACAGGCTTTGAAGTTGGATGTCGCTCCTTTGTAATTTTCAAAGGACAGATATCAGCCTAGTGGTTGGTCAGTTATTTTTACCCCAGACCAATCAAACAGCTATCTTCATGTCTTCTATTTTGCTATGACATATTCCATGGGTGCAGAGAGGGAAAGTGAGCGTAGCCCCTGGAGTATTGAGGATGTGATAATGCCATCCATAATCATCGTTCATCTAACCACTTAAAGTGCAGATACAAAGAGTCTTTATCATCTGTACTTAGCAGCTGGCTTTACATGTTATATGAGTGTGTTGTAATTAAGTCAAGGAAATATATATTAATCAAATCATTCATGATAACCAGAAATTCAGTATATAAAAAGGTTTTTTCTTTTCTGTTTCTATATCTTATACAAAGTTTTTTTCCTTCTGTTTCTAGACACAACATAAAGCAAAACATATTTGGCTTTCATGATTTCAATTATAGAGTGAAAGTATGTGATTTTGTGCATTTTTGACAATATCAAATACATAATTTTTTGATTTTTTGTTGAGATTAGATTAGATCTACGTGTAGATTTTCTTTTACCCAAAATATGTTTACTATCAAGTCCTATGTATGGTTATGTGACATAATATATTTGACAACAAGAAAAAAGAGAACCACAGGGCGGAACGATATACACCCGTCGAATGCCATATACCGGTAGTGTTATATACTTTCTCACATTGAAATAAGATCTGCATCATTCAAAGAGTGGTTAGCTGACATGCTATAAAAATGTAGGAGAAATTCTCTGGATAAAAAAATCAATTACTGAAATGAACAAAGGGCAATAACTTTTGCAAAAATCATAGAATCAAAATTCTTTTCAAGGAAACACAAAAACATATCATGCTTATATTATTTAGCCTAGTAAGTTTCAAGGAAATCTGTCAAAAAGTGTAGGAGGAGATCTCCAGACATAATAATCAAATACTGAAATAAACAAAGGGCAATCACTTTTGGAAAAATTGTCAAATCAAAATTCTTTTAAGGAAGACACAACTTCATATCGTGATTATAATGTATACCAAGTTTCAAAGAGATCCGTTGAAAAATGTAGGAGGAGATTGTCGGACAAAAATCAAATACTGAAATAAACAAAGGGCAATCACTTTTGTAAAAATTGTCGAATCAAAATTCTTTTCAAGGAAACACAACAAATTATCATGATTATTTAGCCTACAGAGTTTCAAAGAGGGGCGCGTTTCATCCAGAAGGATTACAGAACAAGGGAAGAGGGATTCATGACCAAACTACTCAAAGAGCTACAAAATGCAACTTCCATCACTAGCATCAAGACGAAAACAACAGAGACGAACATTCTATTATAAAATAGTAGAGGAGCAAATTCCATGAATGCCTAGCAAAGACTTTATTAACTTCCAATGTGAAAAAAGGAAAACACAACAGCGTATATTCCAGGACTGCGAGACATCAAGACTAATTCCAAATTCAATCAGGTACAATAACAGAGCAGTCATAATACCCAACAGCAACACAGAACAATACAGAAACTCATTCTTTGTGCAAACAGCCACAGATTGGAACCACCTGGACGACATCACAGGCGGGGCGCAAGGAATGGAGGCATTTAAAGCATCAATCCCTACAAACTGGGATTAAACGAAGCTAAGTATCGCATGCGACACAACCCCTCTGCATTAAAGCCATTTTGGTCTCTCTGGAGTATAATGTATAGATAGATAGATGCTATACTGATAAGGGTCAGAGCACACATAAACATACATGTACACGTATGTGTGATGTGAACCCATATCAGTATAAAACATGTGTATTTCAGACATTTGTAATGAACCCCTGTGATTTCACATGCAGGTTGGGCACATTGGGACATATGGGTAATGATCCTACATTTGGATAACAAGTTTGAGTAACAAGTGAAAGGAAAACACATCAAGTTCTTTTAAAGATTATGAACAAAAAAGGCCTCATTCTTTTAATTTAATTAAAAATACACTGAGGTACAAAAATATGTTAATCTTATGCAGTTGAAAATGACGAATTCTACCAACTCCATTGCTCATAGTGTGTTAAAACACAAGATGCAAAAAATGACCCTTTTTCCGAAATCGTATCTTGTAAGAAATATGCAGCCTTTTTCTACGAGTTCAGGGTTCTCCCCAGGCCATTTAGCTGATACGGCTCCGTATCAGCTTCAGTTTGAAATCCTCCCTGCCGTATCAGCTTAATTGACCCGTATCACCTTAGACTGTGAACCGTATCACCTTGTTATTTGTACTGAAGGTGGTCTTTTTACGCAAGAAATTGACACTGATTAAATCACACGGCTGACCCAAGTCCAGCAATGACCCCACTGGTCATGATCAGTTGCACGATAGGCGTATTGCCACAGGGGGGCTGTAATTAGTGGGGAGGGGGACCGGACGACAAGCCCACAGGTGTCCGGCAAGCGTGCTCACTGGAGCCTAAAGCAATTACCACCGGATCCTTTTAGCATGGTCAACAGGTGATTAATTGAGGTACCTACTGTTGGATTAACAAAACAAACACTTATTACATCTATTATAAATTAATTTACTCACATATGATTGCATTTGACAACGCTGAAATAGCGTGTGTATTGAGTTAGTGATGGTCGCCATCTTGGATTGTGTAAAGTACAAACCGGAAAGGGAAATGAAAATCCGGATTTGTTGTTTTTAATGAAGAAGAGCTCAAATAAAAATGCTGTTTTAATCTTTGATCACATTTACTGACAGCAGTATTTAATACAGTTTTGGAGGAAATAAAAACAATGTACATTTTATTTAAACATTTTCTCTTACAATAATAAGAACTATGATATAAACGTTTTCATGTGAGTGTTTCCCCCTATAGCACAAACAGCTTTTAAATATTTCTTCTTTAAATTATTTTTAATGGGGATTAAGTAAAGGATACAAATGTAAAGATAAGAGACAAATGTCACAAATGTCATATCTATTATTCAATGTACAAAACTCATACACCTTTCTATAAATTGTTTTTTTTTTTAGAATATTAAAAACAATAATATTGCTGGAAATTCAGACATAAAAAACACTTATTTATTTCCTTGGTTTTAATGTTCACCAAAAGAAGTTTGGTTAATAAAAGTAACCTTTTAAACATAATATTACCCCCCCTCCCCCCGCCTTAGGTTTGATAAGGTATAATAAGGTATTATATTAGCGTGTCCGTCTTGAATTTTCGTTGCAGATGAAACATATCAGCTTAAAAAAATTCTGGGGAGTACCCTGGAGTTAAACATAAAATGTGGGTCCAGCACCTAACTTCTAAATTTCCTCTTACAGACACGATATTATATTATAATCATGGACTCAGATAGCCCGAGTTACTTTCCTCTGGATCTTACACCAGACTTAGACATGTTGACAGATATATGTAAAATGTCTCAGTCTGGTGTCCGGGCCAGAGGAAACTCGGGCTAGGACTTAGATAAGTTAGCTTAATCTAATTCCGTGATTATAATCTAATACTTGGATGGTATTCTTGTATGATACAGAATTAAATATTTGGTAAGGCCGCTTTGAAAGTCAACGATAACTGCTTTCCATTTTACCGTAAAACACCAATAAATGTTGCCTCTCAAACAAGTAGTTTACCTTTTCTATTTTCCATGCTGTCTACAGTAAAGTTTACGGAAGTAGGTGGCGCAAGTAAAATTATTCGATCTTCTCTAGACTTACTATTCTTAAGTACTTACATCGGAACATTTCGGGCATAAACCAGTTCAATTTTGGTAACTGATGTAAACACTCACTGAGCACGTGGATCGATCGAACCAGTTAAAACCAGTACACATCTGGTATAGACTGGCATTTATCGGACGAAGAACGTAGTGACAGAAATCAACAGTACAGTGCAGGTAATATATCTAATGTTTTATCATCAGTAGGTTCGGTTGTTCATAGCACGAACTGGTTTCCTCTGGTCATGAAACCAGACAGCCAGACTTAGACATTTTGACAGATACTGTATCCTCTGGCCCTGACACATACTCTTAGACATTTTAATAGATTAGATGTCTACCTGTCAAAATGTCTAAGAGTATGTGTCAGGGCCAGAGGAAACTCGGGTTTAACCAGATACTGTACCACACTGCTAGGACAAAAAGAACCTGATAATTTATTACAGCATATTTGGACCTAAACTGAGGTGTTCAGAGTAGCATCATTGTGGGTGACTGGATCGACTGGATCGATCATCGGCGACCAGATAGTTCAATTGGTAGAGCATCCGTCTAGAGTTCAAAAGGGTCCCGGGTTCGAACCCCAGTCTGCATTTTCCCTCTCCTGTTACATTTGGTGCCACACGAAATATACCTAAAGAAGGTGGTATAGTGTCTTGTGTGTCTTTGCGGTCAAAGCCTTTGTTAAAGGAGGGAGGAATGTAGCGGAACTGGACTCGGTCAAGTTCAGAGGGTCCGGGTTTGAAACCCCGGTCTGGCCGTGCATTTTCCCTCTCCTGTTACATATGTGTATATATATATATTATTCTAATGTTAATGTATAAACATGCAACCAGGAAGAGCATTGGCAGTTGACAAATGTAACTGAGCTGACACAGAATGTACTGAATTCTAAATTAAATATTTTGCTGGGGAATTTCATACATTCTTTTGCATGCACATGTCTATGTTACAACCATTGCTATAGAACTTTACAGTGGAGGATCCAGAGGAGTCTTTGGGCTTCAGGATACCCCCCAGCCTGAGAATTTTCTGTAGTGTACATGTACACGTACATATATTTCAGGAAGTGTACAAGCTCATAAATTGATATAGAGTTGAACTATAATATGATTCTTAAGGAATAATCTTTCAGAATATTCCGAAGTACTGTTGGGACTGATTCTCTTCTTTAACAAAATTGAGGGGAGGGGATCATTAATAAGAAGAGCGATTTTCTGTTTGGGCTATTTTCGGAAGTGCTCATATCAAGTAGGAGGATTAATTTAAAGTGTAAGAAAAGTAAGATTGAGTGGAAACCATCAATTCCTGTAATAGGCATGGGTAGACAGCATGGGTTACCAGATATCCTATTTATGGGTATAGAAAAAAAATCCAGTAAATGTTCTATGTTCTACATGCTTGTTGGTACATTAATACAACAGATAGGGATAGGTGAACTGGTATAAACAAAACTATGTGCCTGTACTAGCTATCATGACTCTTCAGCTAACACCATAATGTAGGCCACCAATGATAGTGATAGAACAAGGGATTGTCTCCCTTTAGCAGCTTTTGCTTAGGCCAAATAAAAATATGTGTATTTCCTGTTTCAGCTCCCAAAAAATAGGGTAGGTAGGTAGGAAAAGCTTTTATTTTATATTTTTTATTTTTTTTCTGATTAAGAAAGTTTCCTTACTACCTCCAACAACTGTGAATGTTAAAAAGATGTTATTGTTTTAATCAAGTATAATTGGCACCAAAGATATTTTTTATTCATGTAAAATAAATACACAAATAATTTTTAACTACCTAAATGTTTATTGAGTAACCAACGTGATTTCAAGGTTATTGGTGTTTTCAATTTGTTGAAATTAATTAAACAACAAAATAAGTGCATTTTTATTTACACTTTATCTACAACACAAGTTTCTTAATGCGTCATGAAATATACAAGGGTCTCCACTCCAAACTTATCACCAACTATAAATTGTAAAACTACACAGACACAGAGATCTACAAACTACAGCTAAAACCACTTTTACTAGTAACTTTCTAACTCTCCTCTATATCTCTAGACCTCTCAACTCGGTCTCCCTAGCTCAACCTCATTACTATCAATCCCATAGAAAAATCCTGCTCCATTAAAAATGTTGATTCATTAAAATTGTTGATGCAGCTGCAATCCTAGGCAGCAGTGTACAGTAGCTTACTGTAGCAATGTGTGATATTTCTGTACAATGAATAACCCATGTAATATTACATGTATAAAAGCTTAAAAAAAAAAAGAGCAGCGCTAAAATTGGCATATACATGATCAAGTTGACTATGTGGGCTTCACATTAAAAAAAAAAAATAGAATATAGTTTGAGACTACATTTTTGGCCATTTACAAATCTGTGTCTACACAACAAAAGAATGCTTTTCATGTGGTCTATTTTTGTACTCGGCACATGTGTAAATATTGTGAAAAATCAAGTTGAACGACCTATGCTGAAACGCGAGTATTTCTGTTACTGAGTGGGTGATATTCAATTTAAGACGGGTTTTAAGAAAAAAATACTACTTGCGTGGGTCAAATTTTCGGTTTAAAATCTTATTTTTTTGCATTTATTTTGAGTTTTCTGATGTGTTAACCATGGTTTTCACAAGTGCCAAATTTTGGGAAATCACTTTTTGAAAAATTATCATTCTTCTAAAAAAAAAAGTTATTCAAAATGTAGTTTATAAATATATATATATATGTAGGTGTGTTGTGCAGGATAAATCTGCTATCCCTGTTTATCTGGCAGTCAGCATCAACCAGAGGCACAAACACTGACATCACAGACTTTTCTCACCCCACCTACACTACAATTAAACAGCTAATAAATGCATAACAGTGACTGAAAACCAATAAAATGTTCTAGAGTCGGCATGAAAAAATGGGTCGGTAGGGAAACGGGAAACACAGCTATATTTTTATTTGGCCTTATGATGAGCTGTTGCATCAGATTTTAATCTCACCAGGAACTCAGATATCATTCCGGACATGATTTAGCCCCTTAAAAAGCAGCTATATGTGTACTCATTGGCTATTACATATTATATGTAGGTGTTAGATTTGAGTGTTTTCAATTAACTTTTTTTCAACTCCTTAGTGTCATTATTGGTTTCATGTACAAAACATCTTAATTCAGCATATTCTCATTTAAAAACAAGTAAATCTAATAACCTGCTGTTTATTATATTGATATAGTGCCAAAGATGTCTTTTGTACAAGTTAGATGCATTAATTGTTATTATGTCATAAGGTTACAGCACAAAGGGCCACACAAAACATTATATGTTTTTCCTGTAAAATGTTGTAAATTTAGAGTAGATAGGTAAAACATTTTACTTTAACAAATAAAATTGGAGGCACAGTAGTTTAATAGAAGGACCCTGCGCAGGCTTGTAGCCGAAGGGTTGTGGGTTCGAGTCACAGCTTGACACTGTGTTGTATTTTGAGCAAGATACTTCACTCCGCTTGTTCTAGTCTACTCATCTGTAAATGAGTACGTGGTTGGGCAGTGCTAGAATTGTTGAAAGCTAGCTGTGAGTGCCAGAATGACAGCACCAGCTGTATGCTCCCCACTCCTCAGGGAGTTGAGAAAGATATTGGCTGGTTGCAAAGGCCCTATAACCACGGATAATAATTAGTGAACCGCTTTGAGATGACCTACGAACTAGGTTGTCAATGTGATAAAGCGTTATATATAAATCCTCGAATTATTATTATCATTAAATCATTTTATATGGTTTTTATAGGAGGGTGATCTTGACTTTAACAATGCTTGAAAAATTGTCAGGGTATGCACACAAAACTAGTGTAGGTAGGGAGAGACTAAATATGTTTTGTTTGGCCTAAATTGTGCCCCCAAAAGGCCTAACAAAAATAGAATAATGTTGTTTCCAATTTCCCTATATCATTTTATTTAACAGTATACATGAAGTTTTTTCACCAGTTCTAATCAAGCCCAGTAAAAGTAAAGATCCTAGTCATTTTGAAAATAAAGTAAAATTATTTTCCATAGTACCTAGCTGACTTTCTCTTTTTTTGAGGGCAAAACCAGAAATACAATTACATAATTATTTTCCCCTAAAAATACCTACATTTTGTATACATATGCAGGTAAGTACCTTGTTACCTTTTCTGACCATTCAACTCCTTAATCCTAAAAAGAACACTGATTTGTAAGAATTACACAAGGACAGACTTATGCATATAATTTTAAGATTACTGTATTTTAACAGCAGGGGTGTAACAATCTGTTTACAAGATATTTGCCTAGGGGTTCTTAGTAAACACTAATAATCCACATGTGAAAAGGAAAAGCAACAGAATGTCTTGCATCATCACTGACTCCATGTGTGCCCATAGAGAAAATACCAGGAATTTACAGGCTTGAAATATGAATTGGTATATCCTCACGATAATATAATTGAACAAAAGCATCTTTGTCAGTTATAAGTTATAACATAAAAAAAGTCAATGTCTGGGCTTGTATGCCTCTAAATTTCACAATTAATTCAAGCTGGAAATCTGGCAGCTCCTGGCGTTAGACTAAAGAGTTTTTACTATCTTCTGCAGTTTAACTTTTTTATCTTGTAATAAGGGCTTTATCATATCTGCAAATTATATAAGTACACAGTTAGTAAAAGCATACACTGCAAATACAATGTGAAGTGCAAATCAAAATTTGGCAAATAATGTAAATTTCTTCTGTGAAAGGTGAATATTTGACTGGCAAAAAACAATTACTGGTAATTCCAAAGTATAGGACATAGTACCAAGTTATAATAATGTAATCTTGCTATAGCCAAGGGTATCAGAAAAGTTAAAGAAAAGGACTATACATTGAATTCAGTTAACTTGATAAATTAATCAGTAGCTAGATCTATATACTGAAGAAATGTAGAGTATAAGTTTAAAGTTCTAAAGCTGTGTTTCAAGCAATGCCATGAGCGATAATATATATATAATGACCTTCAATTTGAACATGTTTCTTGTGGCTGTT